TTTTTTTCGCGCCTGGGCGACGTGGTTGCGCCGCCTGTTGCCCCGAAAAGTCAAGGTTGCATCCGTCGCAGGGCATCCGGACACTTCCTTCCGTGAGGTCGAGGTATCCGTGACCGGCATTGACTACTGCTGTGGGAGGATTGACTGTTAGCTTTCCCCACCATTGATTTCGTTTAAGACCATCTGCTGGCTCTCTCGGGTTGGTCGTCCGGCCTAAAGAGACCCAGGAGAGATGTGTGTAAAATCGTGCTCGGGCTAAAACGTCTCGACTGAGTTGTTTGAAGTGACGTTTTCCTGCTTCGTTGTTCCACTGCTGCGTGGGTTTTCTGTGGTTCCGTTAACCGGTCTGCTTTCGCGGTCGTCTGTTGCGTGGGGTTTCTTGGTGTTGGTCACGGGTGGGGATGGGGTGGTCCGCCGATTTTAACTCCTGCACCCGTTTCGTTTAGTCGAATCGGAATGCTCGACTTTTTTTTTTTTTTGTTTAGGTGAATCCAGGCCATGGGTTTTCCTGTATCTGAGTCAATTTCTCGCGGCTCTTTTCCTTCGGCCATTTCAATTTTTATTTTTATTTTTCCATCTTCTGAGTTGTGGGCTGTGCCAAGTGAATCAGGGGAGTCGCTTTGTCCTTTGTTTTTCTTGCTGGGCTGCGTGTCTTACTTTCGGGGTCCCAAGGGTGTTTGTCATCGTCGGTTTTGTGGACCCCCTTGGCTCTTTGAATGCCCAAGTCCACCCGTTCCATGTTATCGGAACGCTTCTGCCAGATCGAGGGAGGTACAAGAGCTTTTAAAATTCGGGCTCCGAAATAAGGGCCCAACGCCAAGAGGCCCAGTCGCCCAGAGCTTGAAGTTGTGAATCGGCATTCCGAAAGACAGCTTCCCTGGGCAAATGTTGTGTCCGGACTAAAATCGAAAGTCGTTCTGCAAAAGTCACATCGAGGTACTAAGCGAACAGTCAAAATCGAGGCTGACTGACGGTCACTTCCTCGAATCTCATAGTCAAAGGTCAAAGGCCCAGTTAAGTCTCAGTCCCATTGGTCAAGTCACAGCAGAAGTCCAACATCCTGGCCCGATGTACTGCTGCTCACATTGCGGTCCGACAGGAAGTGGGCATGCGGTCCCGGGTACATTGTGACCAGATGCTGGCCCAGTGCAGCACTATTTAAGTGTTGACCTGGGCTGGTTGCTCATTCGGTGTCGTGCACCCTTCGTGCATTTCCGCGCCGCACGTGAGGCCGAGGAGGGACGCTGTAGTCGCAGTGTTGGCCGAGGAGGGACGTTGTAGTCGCAGTGTTGGCGGACGAGGGAGGCTGTAGTCGCGGTGTTGGCCGAGGGACGCTGTAGTCGCAGCATTGGCCGAGTACCTGCGCTGTTGGAACGGCGCCAG